TGAATCTCTTTCCTTGGTCTCAATATTACTTTTAAATTGAGGTTGACTTATGCCCAAACTTTATTCTTTTATTTTTATTTAATTTATTTATTATTTTTATTTTATGTGTATGAGTGTATTGCCTGCAGGTGTGTAAGTGCACCTGTGCTGTGAAATGCCGGACGAAGTCAGAAGGCAGCATCGGATCCCCTGGAATTGGAGTTACGGATGGTTGTTAGCCACCATGTGGGTGTTGGGAATCGAACCCAGGGCCTCTGCAAAAGTAGACAGTGCTCTTAAATGCTGAGCTATCTCTCCAGCCTCAACACTCAAACTTTATAACTCTGTGGGTCTAGGGCTTATAAATTATACATTTCTAGAAAGTTTCTAGGTGATACTAGTGGTCAAGGAACCATACTTATGACAACCAACTAATATAGGTAATCCAATAAATTATATAACCTGATGGATGAAACTACTCTGTATGTAATGAATAAAGTAATAAAATGTTACTGGTTATGTACTATTCTTGGAGGACTATGAAAATTATCACTCAAATATTTTCCTGTGTTCTTTGGTTCAGATGAGTAAGCTTAGTTGAGAAAGGTTCACTCAAAAGTAAGACTCAAAGTACTCAAGTATCATGCATGAAAATCTTGGGGAAGAAACATTATAGATTACAATGCTCAAGGAGTCAATCACTATTAACAAAACACTTTCCTTTTTACATATCCTACCTTAAAAACAAGGATAACTTAAACTCAGTGAACTCAAAGAGCCACCTATCAGGTTTATCCCATGGGGAGTTTGTCACTGAACTTCCTAAATAAGTGCTAGATATGCCAACTGAGGGTCCCATTCAAGAGATATTTCAGTGGGTCTAGAGTTGGGCCTTAGGAATAAGTGCTCCATATGTCAGTTGTTGCTAGATGTGGTAGTTGTCACTAGTCATTTTACTAACTACTTTTCATTTTAATTTCGTCCATTCTGAGATAGGTTTTCTAATATTAGGTATTGTTAATAGCTAATATTGTCAATATGCATGATATAGAATCACCAAGGAGGCAAGTCTCTTGGGTACGCCTCTAAGCGATTATCCAGATTTGGCTAACTGAGGTGAGAGGACTTCCTTTTACTATAGATGGCACGATTCCATGGGCTGAAGTCCTGGACTGATTAAAAGGAGAAAAGTGAGCTGGGTACCACCATTCATCTCTCTCTGTTTCCTGAGTATGGATGTAATAGGACCAGCTCCTCAGGCTCTTGCTGCTAAACCTTCCATGATTGATGGGCAGCATGCTGGACTGTGAGACAAAGTAAACCTTTCCTTCCTTAAGTTGTTTTTGTGAAGTATTTTTAACACAGCAACAAGACAGGCAGCTAATATAGCTTTCCACTAAATTATGGAAACGTGATGGATCACTAATAAATGAGCATAAATGAACATCAGTGTTCACTGGGTAATATACAGATGTTTTTATCCTACAGATTCAAAGAGTCACATATCAAGAGATAGAAACAGAAAGGCTGATGGAGATAAATTTCTAAGTGATTTTTAGGATCATAGAGCAAGGAAGACAGACTAAGGCTTATCACAGGCAAAATGGGTTTTCTTTAACTTAATGGCATTATTTAGTTTTCTAAGTCCAATCCTGTTTCAACTTCTTATCTTCTTCCTTTAGGCTCCTTCTAAAGTTTAGCTTTTAAAAAAAAACCAGGTGTGGTGGTGCATGCCTTTAATCCTAGCACTTAGGAGGTGGGCAGATCTCTGTGAGATGGAGGCCAGTCTGGTCTCCATAGTGAGTTCCAGGCCAGCTGGGACTACAGAGAGACCCCATCTTAAAAAAAAAAAATCAGAAAGACCACTTAAAAGATCAGTAGATAAACGTTCCCAGGGCTCTAGAATGAGACCAACATTTGTATTTCTTTAAAAAAAAAAAAAAAAAACTATATAAATCAAAGAAAACCTACCATACAGAAATTCTGTGAAACTACTTCAAATTACTCTTCTGCCACAAATTAGACAAATTTAGCCAGCATATTAGTGGGAATCAAATCCAGGAAATCTCTGGAAGAGCAGCCAGTGCTCTTAACCAACTGAGCCATCTCCCTAGCCCCTCTCTAAACTAAAATAACATTATAGCATCACTGAAGAATTACTTAAATTCATGAAAAATGCTGAGTTAAGTTCTAGTTTATACTAAATTGTAAAAGTCTTGCTCTTGATTTATTTACCTGGATATACAATATACCTGGAATATTTAGTATAGGCAGTAAGACATTACATTTATGTGTACGGTCCATGTCAAAACAGAATCTGAGGAAAGATTACACTCTGTAAAAACCTCTGTAGGAGATGGGATAGACAAGAAGTAAAATTGGTTGCCCCAGGGAAAAAAAAAATTGTTAAGTCCAAGTGGCGAGGAAGCTGAATGGCTCTGAGAAAAGGCAACACTGTGATAATATGGTACAAACAATGGCTCTCCATAGGTAGAGGGCGTAAACAAATGAAACTACGAGAAACATGTACAGAAGTGACGTGGTTTTCCCCTTGTTTTAAGTGTAATATATAAGCAGTAATGGACAGCAACCTAACACACCTTTTTGTTGGGTTTTGTAGGTAGGGTCTTGCTAGATAGCCCAGGTCGGCCTTTTACTCATGATCCTCCTGTCTTAGCCTACCTAGTGCTGGGATTATAGGTATGCATCACCATGCCTGGTCCATACTGAATTCTTTTTTTAAAGGGACAAATGAGTAAGTTCTTTAAGCAAATAGCATTTGGCACTAATGAAGATTACTTAAATTTGTGAATGTGCTATTTACTAAAATATATATGAAACCTTATCTGTAGAAGAATTGGTATTTTTATTCTTTTAAAGCAAGGCACATGTAATGCTCTTTGTTATAACAGTAGTTATTAAACAATGCCAAAATAAAAACCCAAGGTCAACATAAGATTTACCTTACCTTTACAGTTTCTACATCACCAGCCTTTGCAGCTTCCAGCAACTGTCTGTCTGCTTCTGAGTTACCTAAGGAGATACCCTCTAAGAAGGAAAGAAAAAGAGTGATCAACTTCTATGTAGAAAATGAGACCAAGCTTCAAGGGAGGCATTATGTAAAAAAGTAGAGGGTTTTTTGTTTTGTTTTTCAGTTCACTAGCCTATATAAGAAATCTCCACAGGTGGGGGGGGGAGATACTAGAGCTATTAAAAATTTTTGAGAATAAATACTGAACAAAATATGTAAGTGTGCTGATTATAAAATGTCTTTTAAACAGTACAACGTAACAACACAGATAATGAAAGCTGGCCTGCTCTATAACCAAGTCACGTATGAACATGGGTAAAGCATTAAATCAGGAAAGCCGCCGGCAGAAATCTAAACATGGTTCTACCATTAACTAGTTATTTGACCTGGGACAAATCATTTCAACTTCCTGAGCCTCAGATTTTTTTTCAATTCTAAAAAGTGAGGTTGGATTAGGAAATAGCTAAAGTCATTTTCAGGTTTGAAATTGTTGGGTCTTACAACTCAAAAGTTCAGAGAAGAGAGTATCTACAACAAGCTTCAGGTAGATTAAACATATAAGCAGATATAAAAAAAATTAAACTTAAAAAAGAACTAAAACAGATAAATTATGTCTCTCTCTTAAATAAACTTTTTATCAGGCGCAAACAGAATATTATTAAAAAGTTTTAAGTATTAAAAAGTTATAAAGCAAAGGACAAAATGGAAAGACTCATAGTGAAAATGCATGTCAGAAGAAAATATATTTAATTGTCATACTGGCACATGCCTGTAATCCTAGCACTTGGGAGGTAGAGGCAGGAAGATCAGTTTGGACACAATAGGAAGTTTGTGTCCAGCCTGGGCTATACAATACCTTCCACCTCCAAAGTAGTAACTGACAGTCATGAGTCACTACATCTAGTTTTATGTGGCTCTGGGGATTGAAGCCAGGCTTTGTGCATGCCAGGCAAGCACTCGACCAACTAAGCCACATCCCCAGACCTTATCTAAGCTTTGGATCTCAAAGTTTCTACATTTGATGCTAATAAAAACTGGACATGATGGGTGTGGTAGTGGCACACCTTTAGTCCCAGCACTCAACGAGACAGAGGCAGGTGGATCTCTGTGAGTTTGGGGCCAGTCTGAATATACTGAGTTCCAGGCCAATCAGGGCTACATAGTGAGAGACCCTATCTCAAGAAAAAGAGCCCCCCCCCCCACCGAGATATAGGCAAAGATAATTTCTGCATCAGCCTTCCAAGTGCTAGAATTACAGGTATAGGTCACATTCCCAGCTGTCAGATACATTCAACCATCACTAGGGCTACTATAAGATCCTTACCTTTTAATGTTTTCCTTTCTTTAAAACAAGTAGCTGCTGGGTATGGTGGTACACATGTTTAATCCCAACACTTGGGTGGTAGAGGCAGGTGAATCTCTGTGAGATTGTGGCCAGCCTTGTCTACATAGTGAGTTCCAGGCTACCTGGGGCTATAGGGAGTCCCTGTCTCAAAAAGACCAAGAAAACAAAAACAAGCCCCCGTCCCCCCAAAAGTAGCAACTACTACATCTTACTTGATTGACAAGAGTTTTTAAAGGCTTTCTTTTTCTTTTTTCAAGATAGGGTATCATTATATAATCAAGAGTGCCAATGAACTTGATCTTCCTGCCTCAGTCTCCCCAGTGCTGGTATTAAAGGGGCATACTACCATGCTCAGTTTAAAAAACTTTTTAAAGTTTCCTTGACAAAAACTTGAGTGCCTTCTGTTTACTAAGAGAAACTAGGCAGAAAAATGCTACTGGAACAAAATCATAGTTGTAATTCAATGACAGTGGGTTATGAAGTATAGTGAGTTAAGAAAGCCAACAGTTCTCAAAATTTTCTTTTTATTATCAACTCCTACACCCAACACCTGATACATGAAAAATCTTAAAGGTTAGTTAAAAATGAGTATCATGGGAGCACTTGGTACCTTGAAGAAGTTGCTGCACATTCTCATTACCCATCTGGAGCGCAGTAAAGCCCTGAAGGGATATGATGTTAGGATCACACCCATAGCTCAGGAGCAGGCGGCAGGTCTGCAGATGACCACAATGTGCAGCTCTGTGAAGAGATGTCTGTCCAAGACTATCCAAAGCATTAACCTTAACAATGCAGAAAACATTAAAATCAGCCTATGATGCATAATTTTAAACCGTCCATTTCTGCATTTAACATTTGCTACTACAAATCTCAATTTTTTTTTTAAGGAAAGTAACTATCCAGTGCAAACTAAGAAATTTTTTGCAAAAATTTAGAGTATAAATTCACCAACTAATGAAGACTGACATTAGAAGGAAGCTTCAGGTTTGGGTTAAAAAAAAATGTAGGGTATCAAGTAAACCATTTAAAAATTCCCCTATTTAGGGGTAGACATAGGCTAAAAGCTGAATCCATAAATTTTATGGGTCTCTGAGGTTCAGAAATGTTAAGATTAACCCCAAGATTCACAAAAGTCAGCAACAAACAGGTAAATTAGTGTTATTTACTTCTACTGATTTAATCTTCTGATTTATCACATAAAATATGACCTGGATAAACATTATATAACCACACAATGGAATACCTGTCAGCAATATAAAGCAATTGTTGATGAATATCCAAAACATTATACTAAATAGAAAAAAAAGGAGAACAAGCAAATGTGATTCATGTCAGGAAACATTAAAATCCGTAGAAGTGGAGATTGCCTGAGATGGAGCACTGTGATATATATATTATATGTGATAAATATATCACAGTGCTGGGAACTGAACTCATGGCCTTAGATGTTAAGACAGTCATTCCCAACCCAATTCCATCTTAGCCCATGTTATCTTAATAGGTTTTGGTGCACAGTTGTATTTGTCAAGATTCAGCAAATGTACACTGAAGACTTGTGCATTTCACCCCACATAAATTTTGTATCCAAAGAAAAACTCAACTCTAGTTGATCTGCACACTGAAGTATTTAGGGGTATGTGTAATTTACAAATTACTTTGAAACGTGTCAAAAAAAAGATATGCTGATATATAACATAGTAAAATGTTGGTGACAGTGTCTGGATAGTGAGTATATAATTACTATTATTATTATTTTTTTTTGTAAAAGTCTTTCAATTTGGCTGCATCTTTGAAATTCTTCACAAGAAAAAAAAAAAATCACCAATAAGACTATATCACTTCCACCCTGCCTCCCCAACACGGAAATAGTTCCTCAAAACACAACTAATAAATTAGGATCCTGTGGTCCACTGGTTTTTTAAAAAATATTTTATTTATTATTTTTATTTTATATGCATGCATGTATTGCCTGCATGTACGTATGTGCACCCGTGTCATACAATGCTGGTGGAGGACAGAAGAGACTGCCAGATCCCCTGGAACTGGAGTTACGGACAGTTGTTAGCTGCCATGTGGGTGCTGGGATTCTAACCTAGGTCTTCTGTAAGAACAACCAGTGTTCTTAACCTCTGAGCCATCTTTCAGCCCCAGGTGCACTGTTTTTTTGAGACATTAGCCAAGTATTACTAATACTCATGGAGTCAGAGACTATTTGAAGAGGTATACAGCAACATCTCAATGACTGCAAAACTAGAATATAAATTATCTATTCTTCATTCTTACAGAATATGAAAGACCTATTTAAAATGATCAGAGCAATTGAGCAACTCATATACCCAAACCACATCTCAGTGAAAACCATCACTTGAAAGCTTTATTTGGGTACTACTTTGTGTTAAGATTAGGGTGATCAATTGTCATGGTTTGCCTGGGAGTTCTTCAGTCTTAATTCTAAATTCTGGGTTTTCAGAAATCTCTAAGTCCTGGGTAAAAGTAAGTGAGTGGTCTTTAGTCACAAGTGTCACTGCGTTTCACAACTCAAATTTTAACATGCTACCTGGTATTCTTCCAGTACACCATATGAGGGAGGAAAAAAAAAAGCCATTAATGAAAAGGTACAGAGCAGAGAGACAAATGAGAGATGCCGAACAGTCAAGCAGAAATAAACTTTATTTTATTCAATAATTACAGTGGGGGGGGGGGGAGAATCACAATTATACATTATCAAGAACTCCCGAAATCAAAGAAAGATTAGTACACTAAAGGTAACAGAAAAAGAAATAAAAAAATTTTAAATGATTCCTTGAGTGAGTAGAAACCCAAGAAAATGAATCTGCAAAACCCAGTTAGGAAAAGGTCCCAGGGGCCTCTCAAAGTTCTCTGTTCCTTTCTTCTCCCTTCATCCAGAGCAGCTCCACTTCTTAATTATATATTGAACTTCTACTAAATGTTTTCTTTGAAGGCAAAAAAAAAAAAAAAAATCTTTGGATAAAAACTGGAAATGGCTGTCATTTCTGCTATACATACCATTTATTATTTTTAAATTAAAGATCTGTGTGTCTCTGTGTGTGTGTGTGCGTGCGCGTTGGTTCTCGCCTTTCCATCTTGTTGAAGCAGGGTCTCACTTATTGTTTCTGCCACTTTGTTAGCTGGCTGGTGAACTTCATTTCCCTGTCTCTGTCTTCCATCTCGAAGTAGGAGTGGTGGGATTACAGATGCATGCCACCACATCTGGCTTTTTGAATGGGTTCTGGGGATTAATTTAGGTAGTTAGGAGTGCATGGCAAGTGCTTTTACCCACTGAGCCATTTCCCCAGACCCTTACTAAGTATATTTTAAATTTCTAAGTATATTTTAAATTTTGGGTAAGAAAATGATTTAGGTTTGATGGAAGCAGAATTCAAATGAACAAAATGCTCTGTGTACAAATGCCAACTAAAGGATGCTAATTAATCAACATTGTTAGAAATGCTGTTTTCAATAAAATTATTTACTTGCTTCTATTCAAGTTCTTTGGTTAAGTTACAGAAATGGCAGAAGGTAAAAGATTGTTGCTGGTATAGGAGTCATCATGGTAAACCAATGAATTACAGATATGAGTAGGAAAAGACAATTAGTATTAAGATAGGTTAGGTCAGAATTCTATGTGTCTTGCTAGGGGTGTTCTGGACTGTGTACTGTTAAGAAAAAGTTGTTAAAGGTAACTTTGATCAGTGGGATGTGGTTAAAAGGAGTGGAAAAGGAAGGACATATAAGAATAACGAACATATGAATAAATATATAAATTTCCTACTACCACCACCAAAATAGATTCAGGAAAAGTTACCCGTAAGTTTTTTTTTGTTGTTGTTGTCGTTTGCTTTTAAATCTATGTATGGATGTGTGCGTGCCACAATGCATGTGTGGAGGTCAAAAGACTTCGGGTGTTGGTCTTTGCCTTCTACTTTGAAACAAGTCTCTTGCTCACCATTGTATGTGCTAGGAGAGCTGGCCTGCAAGTTCAGGGCTATCTTCTGCCTCTATCCATCCCATCTAGCCCAACGACACTGTGATTACAGACACGTGCCACCATGTATTGCTTTAAGTGGCTTCTGGGGATCTGAACTTGGGTCCTCATGCCACTTGCATGGCAAGTGCTTTACCCACTGAGTCATCTCCCTAGCTCAGAACTGTTTTTAAGTGAAGAATAAGAGAAAAATATATTTATGACAGAGGAACAGTTTAAAGAGTTGTGTATTTCATCCACTAAATAGAAAACGTCACTGGTTACCAAAGATACCAGAAATGGGGTATACCTTTGCTTCATGCCTCACCACTACTTCAACAACATCGTTGTGAGCTTTTTCAGATGCCACATGCAGAGGAGTCAGGAATCTTAAAGAGAAAAAGTCAGCCACAAAATTGAGTATATTTTTCAAAACAACTAAATCTCAGTAACATGTAACTGTTAAAATATACTTACTCTTTAGTCTTTTCATTGATGTTTGCTCCTTTTCTTAGCAACAGTTCACATATTTGTTTTCTTTTGGGATATGGAGATGCAGCAGCACAATGCTAAATAATTTAAATTGCAGCATTAATCAAGGACCATAAATAACTGGTTTTACTTAAGAACACTTGTGTTTCCAATCAAGAATAATCAAGAAGCTATTTAACCTCTTGGCTTTATTTTTACGTGACCTTCCTCTTGAAAGATTTTCTATTGGGTAGAATGTACAATAATTACCAAGTTCTGACAAGGTCTGAAAAATCCCATAGATCAGATAATATGTGTTATTTAATATTCTGGTTAAACGTTGCCTACTTTTAAAAAAGCCATCACTGATGGGATGAAAAGTGTTATATTTGAAGAAGAGACAAGAAGCAGGGAGTTGCCTTTTATAAATTAATTTATTACCTATGGTTATGGCTTCTACTTTTGCAACCTCAACATCCAGGATGATAATGACAACAGGCATTCAACACCTGACTGATAAATGATTAATTCAATGTGCATATTTGTTAAAACCAAAATCTGAAAATCTATGAGATAAAAGTTCTAGTTAATTTTTAAGCAAAGTTGTTCTACATATCTAGACATACAGTGAGTCTTAAATCTGTTCTAACCTATTAATCATAAATTTTGTTATTTCCTCACAACTGTGCTCTTGATTCATTTTTTGAGATCGATGCAGCCCTCCAAAATCATTCCTTCACCTTCAATAAAATCAAGGCAATGGAGATAGTTTATTTCAAAAAAACTATTTCACCCAGCACAAATTAAACCTCTCCTCTCTGTACTATCCTAGGGCAGGGCCTGTAAACTTTGGCATCCAAGAAGAAATGGAATGCTTAACTCCTAGTATGTTTATTTTTAAAACTAATAATTTCTATTTTGTGTGTTTTGCCTGCATGTAATTAAGTGCACCTATGTCATGCAATGCCTGTAGAAGCCAGAAGAGGGAGTCAGATCCCTTGGAACTGGAATTACAGTCGGTTGTTAGCCATCCTGTGGGTGCTGGGAAATGAACCTGGGACCTCTGTAAGGGCAGCCAGCGAGTGCTCTTAACCAATAAGCCATCTCTCGAGCCCCAACTCCTAGAATGTTTTAAAGTTAATTTAGAGCAGGGTACTTAGGGAAAAACAACACATAGCACAATAATTCTTTTATCTGTGCTTTTTTGCTTTTGTTAGTTGCATTACCTGAGATCAACTGTATCTAATAAATTTACACAGAAAACGCCAGAAATAAACAATTCCTAAATTCTAAACTGTGTATGCTTCTGAAACATGATGAAATCTTGTGCTACTACACTTTGGATGCGAAATTCTTTGTTCAGAGGCTGCATATGCTGCCTAATTGTTAGTTACTTACCAGCCATCTGTTATCCATTAGGCCAACTATTAAGTATAATGTGTTTTCAAGAAATATTCTACTTAATACTCGCCCTAAAGTGAGAAGTAGTTTTGCTGGCAATTATGATATGCCAAAGAGAAGCAATAAAGTAACTCCTTTTAAGTGAAAGTCTCAACTTCGAGGGGGAAGAAAAATTGTATGCTGAAGTCACTAGGAACTACTGTTACAGTCATTAAACACACTATGCCTAATGTTTAAATAAAACGATCATAGGTACACATGCATAAGAAAAAACAGTGTAAATGGATTTAGTACTATTTGTGATGTCAGGCACTGACTGGGGGTCTGAGAAGGATACATCCTCAGATAATGGGGTATAACTGTACTGGCTTTTCACACTAGAAATTCTTCCACAATGCTAGTCTTTCCAAGCTTTTCTGCACCATTTTAATGCTGCTATGGGTTTGATTTTGCATTAACACTTAATAGTCTAAAACTTCATTTTTCTACTTAGATTTAAAAAGTAAAGCGAATTTCAGTTTACATTAAGACATAGGTCAGAACGTTCACCACAAAACATTAAGAGGTATCTACTAGACACACCAATTTACTATTCTACCTAAAGAACATTCTGAAAGTTTTACAACAGGATTTACCTTTTCTTTTTGAATTTCTACTTTTAAGGGAACTTCTGATTTCTACACCATCAGTACTTCTGTTTCACCATTGGTCACTGGCAGCTATTGGACTTCACTAATGAAAACTACATATGCCAACCCCTGCCCCTAGTTTCTTTCTTAAAA